AATAATCGTTTGAATCTGTAAATTAGTAAATCTTGAAATACTATCTGCAGTATAAGATTTGGTATACTGAATCTTATTCATTCCTATTTTCTCGAATAAGTTATAAACTCTTAATGCTTTTTGTGTTTGCTTGTATAAGTTTTCACACTTTGTGTTAGGAAATTGTTGAATAATAAAATCGTATACTTGTCCTTTTGCTTTTTTCTCTCCAACTCTATCATTAGCCATAAAATCTTTAACCATATCTTTAAACTTTTTAGCGTAGAAACACCAGCATAATATTTCTTCTTAATTAGCTTTGATAGCATCTTTTTCTGCATCACATGCATTTTGGTATAAACAAATGATATCTTGGTCTGAAGCGACTTCAGTTATATGATTTTAACAAACATTGTTCTGTGAAATTCTAGTTATATTATTCTGATCTTTAATGGATGTTGAAATCTCTTGTATTAAACCTTGTTTCTTTTTCTGCTCGGAAGGAATACTAGATTTAATATTAGATATGTCAATGTCCTATTTTGGAAAACTTTCAGTAGGTGGCCTATGTTGAAGCTTTTTTTCCCTTATTTCATTACGAATCTGTTCATTATGTTTTTCAATCAGGAAATTATCTATTTCTTTACTTTCTAATGATTTAGGCTTTACATATATGACTAATACAGTCGAAGATAAATTGGAGACTCGAGATGAAGTTTCTTCTTGATGTTCATCAGAATTTGAAGTATTATTAATTATATCAATATTATCACATAGTAAATTTATATCTTCAGGAACATTATTAGAATTTACAGGATATAAATCAGAGATTCCAGGTTCTACATCTTGCGAAACATTAGTAATGATTTGATTACACACCATACTCTTGTCTTGTCCTTTGATTAGTGAAATATCATATTCCAATTTAGCTATAAGATCTGTTTTTTCTTTATCGTTCTGCTCAAGTTTAGCGATAAGGTTGGTTTTTTCTTTATCTTTCTGTTCTAGATTTGTAAATCTGGCACCATGTTCTTCTAAAGTTTGTTTTAATTGTTTATTTTCAGTTTTAACTTTTACATTCTCAGCTTTAAGTTTGATGTTCTCAGTCTTGATTTCAGAATTCTCCCTTCTAAGTTTTGCAATTATGGCAATAAGCTTTGAATTTAATTCTCGTAATGAAACAGTTTTGAATAAGTCTTTAGTCTTTTCTCCCTGTGTTCGCATATTTAATACTATCTTAAATAACTTTATCACAAATGCTCAGAAAAAGATTTTTATTAACCACATCTTGGCTATGTCTGCACAAAGTGCTGAAAAATGTTTTGTTATTCTAATGCTTTTTAATTTCAATTATTTTTATAAGATATCTTTTCGAGAGAATCAAACCAGAAGTCATGTGATAAAATTTCACAGAACAACGTTCGTCAAAAAATGCCAAGAAAAATTTTAAAAATTCTTGATCATATGTGAGTTATACATTGGTATCAATACAATAAATAAATTCATGAAATATACATGCAAAAGTAAACTGATTATTTATGTGAAATTGCCAGCTTTATTAATGTAAAAAAAAAAGAAAAATCCAGGATGGAGCTCATATAAATTCAAGATTTGTTCTGAAGATTCCCGCTTTTTTTCTTATTTAATCTTTGTTCACACAAAGGTGGGTTTATATCACTTACCTTTCTGGTTCTTGCCTGTTCTTCTCTGGTTGGTGATGAAAAAGCGGGGCTTGGTCGAGCATTTCGAGGTGGATTGGTATCTGCTTGCTCAAGTGCTCGCTTTAGCAAACTCTTATTCACGATCAGGGTATTCTGTATCCATGCATAAAACATAGTTCATCAGCTAAACATAACGATGAAAGCAGAATTATATAAAAAATTGTAATATATATCCATACCCTCAAAGTTAATAATAGGCGTATAAGAGGTTTCACGCGCCACGGTGTAACTGTTGTCAGTGGTATCTCTGCTTGATCAAGGTGGAAATACCGAGGTATTCCAGCACCATCCAACATAAGGACATTTAAATGCACAACCTCCCCAGCGACTTGAATTCCTACAATCCCAAATTGGTTGCTAGCCGGTCTGCATGATGTGCCAACGTAACTTATTCCGTCCAATGCTTCCCTCCATAGCTTCACCGCATCATCATCTCTTTTTGTATTAGTGCAGACAACGCGGGAGCATTCAACATATACAAGCTCATCGAGCTTCTGTTCATGCTTCACCAACACCATGACATCCGGCTTTTTTCCAATTCTGGGATTCCTCCGAGCCTTACTCGCCAAACTTTGGCGCTCTGCTCTATAATTTGACGAAAAAATATAATAGTATAAAACACTCTTTTTCATGACATTATTTATCAAATACTTACGTGCTCAAGCAGAGATTACCATCTGGAAAATCCTCCAGGGTTGCCCGAAGTAAAGGCATCACAACATCCGCAACGTAAGTTCCCTCGCTCTGTTCACTGCGAGACATACTTGTTGCGAATGCTGGATTGCACCATATCTCGGAACTAGTTTAAAAATATACAAATTGTAAAATTGTAATGTATAGAATATTCAAAGAAAGAATTTTCGGTAAAATTACATACAGTACGTCCAGAATTCGACCTGTTCTTTTTTCCAAGATCTCTTTCATTTTCTTTCCATGTTTTATTATGGAAAATATTGTTAGAATTTCCCGAAACAATTGTTCTATCGAAGTTCTCTACAAATTCATCACACTTAAATAGAATTGATTCGGGAAGATCACATTTCATATTTTCCCGCGGTTTCTATTAATTGATATGTAAATAGTAAATTACGAATACAATTTGAGAGGAAATCTTTAACACGCCCAATGGTCAGAATTTCATATAAAATAAAACTTATTCATACTGTAAATGTTTTTTTCTGCCGTTTTTCCAAACTTTCTACTAGCTTTGATTTATCACTAAGAATCATATTCGCTTCCGGATCTTTCCATGTAAGGTCTTTGGGATCAAGAGTATCAATCTTCTTTTTAAGAGAATCGTATAGAGGTCCATCAGCATCAGTTGAGGGGTGCTAAAACACAAATAATATTAATAAATCTCAAACTCGCAAGATAATATCAATAAAGGTGGTCTAACACCTACATCAAGTTTTTCCTTCAAAAAATTAAGATTCCGTTCTATCTCCTCTCTCTCATGATCTTGGGCCGGTTCCTTTTCCTGAATGACTTGTTAGCCCGTATCATACAAGTATAATCTCGATCTAGATCGGTAACTAGATACTATACCACATTCAATGCCATAATTGCATTCAGACCTTTAACGCTTTTGTATCCATTTTCCACAGTAGATATGGTTACAAATACCGGTATATTATTAGGATCAAATTTTAAAATTTGATATGCTAGACTTGCGCATGCGCATAATCAGAAGCTAATCTCCAATAGTGCATCATTGTTATGGTTATAACAGCCACGCACAGCTGAGGGGAAGCAGAAACCCTCGACATCTCAGGGATAGCAAATCCCACGATATCGCTCTTCTGGGCCGGCATTCCTCAGCCTTCAGCAATGACATACCAAAACTCAGGTTCGATATCTACTGTAATCTCATCACTTTATGTAAATTATAGTTGTACAAAATAATATCTCACTAACCTGTGGTAGAATCATTGATACTCTATCTCTTCTATCAGAATTACTTATTCCTTCCAATGCTTTTTTAACTGCACGATCTGCCAATTCTCTAACATCTTCATATTCGCCTAAAGTATTATCGACCATCGCCAGATAAACAACCGACGCAGAACAAATGGCATCTAATGGTTCTTCTGTTAAAAGTTTTACTATTCTTGACAATTGGGTTGACATGGTAAAAGTTACAGGAATTTTGAATGAGATATAGCAGAATTATTGATATAAAAAATTAGTTGCGGGAATTTTGAATGAGATGTAGCAGAATAATTGATATAAAAAATAACATTTAGTGTCATATATTGCCCTTTTATATATTTAGCTTCCACCTCTTTCCTGAAACTCAAAAGGTTAGACAGAAGTAAAAACACGCATTCTTACATCAAAAATTTCTAGGATAGAAGTTAAGACATGTATTTCCACGCAGAGAAACTTCTACTGATAATGAAAGGCATGACAAAGAATTCTATAAAT